ATGCCTGAGCGTTCAGGACTCGAAGGACGACAACAATGAGGACGCGCGCAAAGACATGCACGGCGAAGAGGCCTCTGAGCCAAGTGGAGAGAAGAAGGCTGACGAAGGTATGGTCATGTCCGAACATGCGCCAGCAGACGATCCGACAGGCGTGTCGCTTCAGCATGAGCCGTCTACGCAAGAGCGCAGTGAGAACACGAAGTCGGAAGACGTCCAGGCACCAACCGCACTGGTCGTCTCTCAACACTCGCCCCTTCCGCTTCTTGGATCGAAACAAATGCCCAAGCGGAATAGCGTTGCCGCGCAGATATCGGTCGTTCTCTACAATCCAACAGAGCCTCGCGTGAACTACTCGCGGAATGCTTTACATCGCTTCTGTAATGGATCTCCTGATTGGGGCTGGACTCGTTTTCACGGACCGCACTACGATATTTCTCGTCGTCAGCATGGTCAGCGCATGGCGCTTCTTCGTGACGACAAACTTGCCTTCACTGCCTACATTCGGGTCGTGGAAGACCAGACGGATTGTTTATGGGAGCATCCCATTCGTGAGAATCCGTGGGACAGTTTTGCAATGACGGGCCTGCAAGCTCTCATGCTTTCGCCTGGCGGGAACATGATGTCTGCAATTGCCTCGTGGATGCTGTTCAAGCCCTTTCGAAACTTATTGTACAGTATCGTCATTGCGGACCCTAGCAATGAGCCTTTCACTCGGCCGAAGCCACTCATCAGCGCTTTACAGCAAGTCCTATACTCGCTTCGCACTCAAGTCGAGCCTGGAGCTGGTCCAGTTGCCCTTGATGGCATTCTGGATGCTCTAGAGTGGTACCGCATACACGATGGCCTCCACAGGTTGGATGTGATGGAGACTTGGGAAGTATTGCGCCTTAAGCTCGAAGAAGAACTTCAAGGGACACCTCAGGCCGCCCAGCTAAATGCTATATGTGGACCAAAGCGCGACTATTCCATCGGTAGACCCAGCTACCGCGTACCTGTGGAAGGTGTGGAGAGCATGCAGCGTGCTGTCAACGAATCGGCTGATTTCACTATACCTGGACAGCCTCTGCCAGAGTTGTTGACAATCGAGCTGGACCGGCACAAATTCGACAGCGCAAAGACGCGTTCGCACATCAAGGTGCTGAACAAAGTGACCCTTGACGACAGGATATCAGTTGGTGACACTCCCTACACACTGTATGGGTTTGTTGTGCATAAGCAAACACTTCAGTCCTATATATACCAGCCTATACTTCGACCCGAGGGCCCTGGTTCACGGTGGTATATCTACAGTGATAGCAAAGACGAGAGCCAAGTCAAATGCCTTCCCAAGCGCGAGGCAGTCGATGCGCATGAAGGCAAGCCTAGTAGTACTCAGATTACTGGCAACGACGCCGTGGCATATATTGCCATGTATGTGCGAGACGATGTAGCTCAGTCGGTATTCGTATCAGACGCCAAATGCGAGCAGTGGGATGTCCCGGAGTGGCTCAAGCTGGAAGTAGAGGCCAAGAAGAACCAATCTTCCCTTCCTCCAATGCCATCATTACCAACGCACGAACCGAACTCTGCGACAGATGAAGAGAAGGCAGAGAAGGTCACAGCGCAGCCACCGAAGACACTCGATTTTCGCGTCGTTGATTCACGAGTATACCTAGGGCACGAAGGTCCAGGTATATTTGACTTCTTTGATGCGAAGTGGGAAGGTTCAGAGCTCATCCACACATTGGCGCTGTCAAGCAATGACGGATGCAAAGAAATTCGACAAAAGTTGTTCGGCCTTTTGAAGAACGTCAAGGACCCACGACAGATAAAGTTTTGGTTTCTAGATCCCACGCAAGGATCTCTGGACCGACCGAACCTCCTCGGTACTGGACTCATTGAGTTTTCAGCCGGTAGCTACAGCCCGCACATAGATGCCAAGGAATGGACTCTGGAGTCGCCAGATTACCGGAGCATCTGGGTACACGTCACCGACTTCGAGAAGCTGCCTGAGCTCCCGAAAGAGGAGAAAGATTCCCCAGAGGCTCCATCGCTCCAGGCGGGTGAAGTTGCGGCAGATATCATCCAAGTTGTCGAGACCGTAATCGAGCCTTCCAGTACCCTGCCGCCACCACTACCGCAGATGACTTCACATTCGGAGGATACGCCTATGAGCGACCCCGATGAGCCCGTTGTTGCACCTCCAGAACAACGCAACGATACTGCTATGCTGGAAGTGGAGTCAACTCCAGCCGTTGATCCACCGGCTGTTGATGTTGTAGTCCCAGGTGCCGGTCCTAGCGACACCGAGATGGGTGGCACACAAGAGGATATGCTGCTGCCACCACCTCCACCTCCCCCGGTTGATACACCTGCAGAACCTCTACAACCACCCCCACCAGTGCGCAACCCCACTCCCGAGCCACCTCCAGATGAGATTTATTTCTTTCTCAAATTCTGGAACGCGGAAAATCAAGCCCTAGAAGCTCGTGGATCGCACACTGCACTCAAGTCTGCTAGATTGGACGACACAATCGTGACATTGCTTGAACTTCCAACGGAAGACAAGAAGAAGATGGAGATGTGGGAAGAGGACGAGCTGACTAACACGCGATCACTGAAGCATCGTCGTACCTTTGCGCAAGTGGATCTACACAATGCGAGTATCATCATCGTTTCGTTACCGCTCTCGGCTGAGAAACGCAACGAATTCGCCGCTCGCGCTGCCCTCGCAGATCCACAATCCTACCTGCAGTTCCGTGCTTTCGCTCGCAACTTCCCACACAAGTTACAAGGCCACTTCACCTACGACTATTTCTCGAGCGAGTACTACAAAGGCGAAGTTGTGAATGGCTATCCTCATGGCCATGGTACTAAAATATACCACTCTGGCGCTACATATAGCGGCTCCTTCCGCCTAGCCCAACGCTACGGCCATGGTCTATACACCTTCCAGAACGGCGACACCTACGATGGTGACTGGGTTGACAACCAGCAACACGGCACCGGGACTTATGTCGAGGCCGCCAGTGGCAACACATATGTAGGCGGGTGGCAGAACGACAAGAAGTTCGGCGAAGGTGTTACGCACTGGAAGAACGCACAAGAGTCGGAGAAACTCTGCAGGATCTGCTGGGACGGAGACGCCGAAGCTGCCTTCTATGACTGCGGTCATGTGGTTGCTTGTCTGCCGTGCGCACGGGAAGTGCAGACTTGCCCCGTGTGCAGGAAGCGAGTGTTGAGCTCTATAAAGTTGTACTATGCGGCCTAGTCTCGTAAGGGCATTACTCTCGTTCAGCGATGCACGCCGAACTAGGGAAAAACTGAACAGCCTGGAGCCTACGTTGACATTGGGTCACCTGCTTTGCAAGGTTTTGGGTCAATGTAGTCTGCAGACCTGTGCAGTTTTGTTTCTGGTATGAGGTGGATGTATACACAGGATGTACGGTATGGGAATGGGGGGTCAAGGAGTTTTTATGCTTAGAATGAGATATGGGTGGGTCAGGCCCGGATGGGCTACATATGGATAGGCGTTAATATGGGTATGGTGTAGGCGTTCACTTCTTCTTTTTATATTATATTACCCCAATGCGAAAGGCAATCCTGAACGCGCACTATTATAATAGATGACAGTGGTAAACAATATTGGAGTCTATTTTTCTTTGAACCCTTTTACATTCAGAATTTTGCGGTGATGTCGACTGCAGCGTGCTAGTTCAGTGTCTTCCTTGAGTGCTAGGACGTAATAGTTGCGACATGACTTTATGGTTATCCGCACATGTGGTCTGCTTCATGACTCAGTTCTTTGTCAATCGGTGGCTACACAGAATGACATACGTAATGGAGAGCATATTGAGAACCACCCTGTTTGTTCAATTACGTGTAGTTTGACAATACTCGATACATCTTGCGCAAGCCTTGTATTTGCACGTGCCTCCTATGTAGCTAGTTGTTGAATCTAGCTACTTAGATATTGAGGCTCGTGCACTGCAACCTCTAGCGTGGAGAAGCCGGCCTATCAGACCCACCCGTGGACTCACGCAATCGCCATGCCGTCCAATCGATATTGAATGCACTGCATTCTCTAGCGCTGACCAGCTGTGCTTCCATCCCGTGTCAGCAGTGCGAGCCTGAGACTTCGGGCTTACCATCTCAACGCGTGGTGCACTGCAATTCTTAGCGTGGATGAGATGTACGGACTGTGGCTGGGCGAGCACAGCCTCCTGATGGCGCCTTCCTCGTTATCTCGAAGGACGTCATGTTTGAGGTGGGGTGTGATGTGATTATCCAATCAATGGGCTAGCGCATCTGTACACCCTTGGCAGCTCCCGGGCTAAATGTGGAGTTGCACTGCAATTCTTAGCGTGAACGCGCTCGCCTCGAGGATTTTTCAGCCGCTGACTTGCAATATTGCTATATATGGATTGCCCTTGATCTCAGTCGAAATAATTTCCGTAGACGCCGCTCTCATATGCGTGGATATCTTTGGGTGTAGTGCCTGACTCAGTGCCAACGTAGATGTACACAGTAACACCACGATTTATTTTCCCTATGCGCTAGTTAATTACCGGAATAAACTATGATAGTACTTTTGAACATACTTCCATGCGAATACTTAGGCAATCCCCACTGCCCGTTGTTTCGCAATTTTGGGAAATCCTCTTCGAGATTATCCGGTTTGATTGAAAGAGCCAAGAGGGCGAGGAATATGGACAGACTACCCCTCAAACCCCCGTAAGGTGGAGATGCATGAAAAGGCCCATGATATACCTCTGGAAAAAGAGTCCAGGGCCACACAGAGCCAGTTCGTTGGCATCTCAATTTCGGGTGTGTTCCACGCGGATGAATACTGGACGAGAAGTCTTCGTCGTTATGAAGGAAGCTGAGCTTATTCCAGACTATAGAGTTTGCTGGCTCTAAATTGAACAAAGTTAGCGTACTTATTGTAACATTCCACGAATATCCATCGTGAAGGTAGGGAATCGGAGTAATGCGAATTAAACTGCAGTAGAGGGAAAGGTTCAATGATGTAGGGAGATGATCTTGCCGTCTTGCCCTACAAGATATGTGCCTGATCCGTAATGAACAGACTTACTGTCATAAAGCGTGAATGTAGCAGGTAGCTCTGCTATCTCATATATGCTCGAACCACACATCCACAACTTTTCTGAAATGTCCTTCATGCGTCTTCTTCTCTTAATACGTTCCTCTCCCGGAAAGTAGAATTCGTCGATCCTGAACACGAACTGAAGATCAGGCACCGCATGCGACGTTGAGACTTGAGACAAGGAATGCCCGGCACTTGAAGTGTTGGGACCTTTCAGCTGCGGAGTTGTGTCGCTGGAAGCGACCATGGTGGATAAGCTCAGTATTGGGGAAAGCGGCTCTTCTCTAGAAGCTCTAACGATCTCTCTCTGCAGTCTCTTCAGTGCATTCCTCCGTCCCTCTCCATATATGAGGGGCATGTGGATGCCAAAAAGCCCGAGCAACGAGTATGCCGCATCCTCTTCCCGCTTAGTGATGCGTTCCCGTGCCCACGAAATCCGTTCTTCAACCGTGAAATCAGACAGCAGACTTCCACGTAGAGCGGCCTCGGCAATACCAGTGCTCAATTGAATCTGTTGGACGAGTGTCGTCCGATCTCCGAGTCGATAACCGTCCTTGGAGTAGAACTCAATATACACAGGCGCAAGGAGTTCCTGGAGTGTCCAGCCCCGAGTAAACCACCTGCTGCTTCGGAAGGCTGTGGACCAATCTGAGACAGACGCTATGCCCTCATGCGTGACGGTTCCAACGGTAACATCGGTAAGATACACGTAACAAATGACCGCATCGTGGTACCATCGATACATGGAGTTGATCGCCTCACCGACCTCCTGGCTACTCTCCTGTTTGATGCAGCATGTATCGACCCAGAAGAAAAAGATGCCGTTTCTCCGAGCTATCTCTCCACAAAAGCGAACCTTGCGATACCCGGAAGGTTTGCTTCGTGCACGGTTCTTTTTGACGTCCTTGAATGAGATCTCCTCGTCGTCAGCACCCCATGTGTGCGATAGAATGGCATATGGAGGAATGTCGTTTCCAAAATATTCGACGAGACTGAGGTCGTCATCGTTGTTGATCTGCAGAAGACGCATTTGGTGGAGGTAGTTGATGAACGTCACCTGACGCGCCGGATCAATGATGGTTTCGCAGAGAGCTTCCTATCAGCGAGTGTGGTGCAGTAAAATGTCGTATACCTAGGCATCGCGGTCAGCTACGATGGTGGGGAAGGCAGAGGCACTGCGCTGCCAAGGTCCGGTGACCGTAATCAGCCACCCAACATGGGCGATGGGTATCATTGGACGAGGAACAAGCACAATCCACCAATCGCGTTATACCGAGCCTCTCCATACATGCCAGCTCCCGATCGCGCAATGATGCTGCGAATAATCTGCCATTCAATGCGGCCACCGCTATTGATCAGGATGTTCGTGTAGAGTCGAGGTTAGCCTATGGATGGTATTTGCAGGGCCTGCTCATGTACCGTAGCTGATATCGCTGCCTAGAGTTTGGCGAGCGAACTGAGCGGCAGTCTGGTCCACAACCGCAATCCGAGTGGAACTAAGAGCATCAACAACCATGGTTGTAAAACATCCTAAGCTGGTACTCCGTCAAGCTCTTACTATAACGCTTCACTCCATTTCTCCATATGAATGGAACGTACTCTACAACAATGAGTCCTTCGCATGACGACATGGACCGTCTCGCATCAGCCCTGGACTCTACAACAATGAGTCCTTCGCATAACGACATGGACCGTCTCGCATCAGCCTTGGAATCGACAACGGTTCAACACAGTACATTATACTTGCGATTTCTCTCATTCGTAAGAGCATCTTTTCGTCTAGGTCGTCGATCGGTTCAACACAGTTTGGGTAACTTCGGTGTATTGCCGCTGGAACTTCGAGAACAGATATGGCTTTACGTTCACGACAGTCCCATCTTCTATGCGGCACCAATTTGCGACACGAAGCCTTCGCCACTTCTGTGCTGTTGCAAAGCGCTCCGGGAAGAGATCATCCACACTATCACCAGGCATAGAGAAGTGAGATTCAAGTCGCCAGAAAGTCTACACTTACTCGCTTCTCGCATGTCTGCGCTTCGCTCTACAATCTCTGAAGAAAGCAGCATGCAAAGCTACTCGACTCCACGCCACATCTACGTCGATCTGTTCGCCGCGTTACCAACAATCCCGGGCTTACTTGAGCCAACAACAGGACAGGGATGGAGGCAACGCGAAAGTAAGATAAACTGTCTAAGAAGCGACGATCGTCGTACACTAGGTTACTTGATCGAGCGTTCCGTACTATCCCATCTTGAAGCTTGGCACCAGGGTTTCATGGCCCTAATCATATCCCGAACCACGAAGTCGGTCATCTTAGGCTTCCGAGATAGGGAAAGAATAGTATGGGTTTCTTCTATATCCACCGATAAAATTAACGAAAACATGCGGCGAATGATCGCCTCAGTACGTTGGAAGAGCGGAACAGACGGTCGAATTGAGGTGGACGGATCCATGAGTTAGGCGACGGGGGTTAGGGAGCGTTACGGTCTGCGAAGAAGTATAAGAGGTTGAGCTCATACGAACAGGTGGAGATATAAAAGGACAACACCGAGTTAATGCGATGTATAAAGTTGCTGGGCCAGAATCAAGCGTGCGACTGCTTGCGGAAAGTGGGCTGGGGGATGCTACTAGAATTAATCTACCTGCTGAGGTTGAAATTCTCAGTGTCAATGCGAAGTGATTAACCATGCAGTTTGATGAAGATGTGAGAACCAGCGAAAGATGACCCTTGAATTCGCTTAGGCTGCATGGCCGTACAATGTGTACGATCTGGAGCAGACGCTTTCACGTATGTAAAATGGATGAAGCGACTCTTATAATGACGAATTGGTTGTCCAAGCGCGTTTCCGTCTTGTCCACGTGTATACAGCCAATATAGGGGCTTCGTGGTGTCTGTCAACGCGTTCGTAAGGCTCCTCGGTTGTGCTATGGCGCGGTCGAGATTCAGGGATCGAGCGATTCGTTTGACCCAGGCGCTGGGCATATGCGATGAATTGACGCGTGCGAGGTTCCAGTGGCTCGCGAGAGCGCGAATGCCCAGGTGGTGTTGCGGGATCAGAATCGCGCGACCCGCAATGTGCTGCCGGGTCGGGATGTTCCGAACACGCTAATATCGTTACGTCATGCGCTTCCCCGACCTCCTTTCACCCCCATCAGGCGCAGCGTGAAGTTGCGCGTTCACACGAACCATCCAACGACACGCTGGCAATACGCGTAGAGAAGTCTAACTACCGAAAAACCCTTCTTAACCAGCTTACACTACGGAGAGACTATCGACATAGCCAAATGGTGGACGTGGAGTTTCTTTCTCGAAGGGCGACAACTGACAACGCACTTTGGACTATGGCAGTATACGAATCGTTACGAGATGCCTGTTCACGATGGTCTTCGCGTCGACCATGATGGTTTGAGTAACCGGACAGAGATGGACCTTTACCATTGTTCTATCGGCCTTCCATCCCACATCTTTCCTTCTCAACCACCCAACGTTGCGACTTCTCTCACTATTGGAACACTGGTTACGACTTTCTTCTACCAACCGAGGTAAACGCGCGTTTGCGCACTCGCCGAGACCAACATTCCTTCATTGCCCGTTTGTTATTGACTTATACATGTTCTACCGTTACAGTAGCCTAGAAAGCTTCTTGACTTTACTGCGGGGTTCGGGAACACGCTATTGGGCGTATAAGAGAACCTTCTGACCGAATATTTGGCACTACATCGTATACCGACCCCCGCTAGCATTAACGAACAGCTAAAATGGCCCCTTCAACCCGACTACGAGCTAGGCCGGACCGCCGTGTCAACTATGCTGAGCCTTCTGGCCCGATAGGTACCCGCAATAACCCTGTTCGTATCGAAGAAACCCCAGAACCTGAAGCCGGCTCCCGAACCTCGCCTGCTCCTACCACATCCGGCAGAAAGCACGGTCGTAAGCTTCCTGTTCGCAAGAAAACTAGAGCTACCTCACCTGAAGCACCAGAGGCCTCTCTTGAGAAGGACTCCAAAGCTGTTGCTCGTGTCAAGGCTGGTGCTGTTGTTAAACCAAAAGCAGAGCCGAAGACACGCAAGAAGCTTCCGACACCGAAGGAAAAAGAGCGACCGAAGAAGCAAGAGTGCTCAATCTGCGCAACAATCAAGGACACGTCTAGATCTTTCAAGGCACCCAATGATGCTTGCGAACATCTTCAGACTATCTGCAACTTATGTGTCGCAAAGATGCTCAAAACAAAGGTTGCCGATCGTCAACTCAAGGATGCAGAGTTGAGCTGCCCGGTCCACAAATGCGACTATTCGCTAGACTATGCAGCTCTTCAGGCCATAGTTAGTAAGGCGGTTTTCGAAGAGTAAGTAATTCACTGATAACACCATTGATCAATACGCTAACCCATCCCAGCTACGATAAAGCCGTCACGAAGCATGCTCTGTCTAGCGGCGAATCATACATTGCGTGTCTGTCTACCAAGTGCGGCCGATACTTCTCCATCGAAGACTGCAAGAACACCAAAAGCAGCAAGCAGCGGGTCGCCTGCCCTTACTGCGACAACGAGATTTGCTTAAGGTGTAACAGGCCATGGGCGTCGCACGGGAAAGGTGGGTGTGACCAGGCGAAGAAGGCGGAGGACGAGTTGTCTAAGAGGGCTGTCAAGACTATGGGAGCCAAGCCATGCCCACAGTGCGGTATGAACATCCAGAAGCACGGTGGATGCGATCACATGACATGTAAGTCTCGAATAAGTTCAAACATCAGCCGTGATATCCGATACTAACGTACATTTTCAGGTGAGCAGTGCGGCCACAACTTCTGTTGGGTGTGTCTCGTTGAGTACACCAAGGACATTCGGCACCGCGACGACTGCCCGCATGCGCGAGTTCACGTTGCTGTCGATCCTGGCAATTGGCTTCCTGAAGACTTGACTCTTGCGCAGATCAACCGCCTTATCGCCGAAGCAGATGCTCGTCTCGATGCGCCGGTGGAAGCTCCCGCACACGCTCCTCATGTAGCACCGGCACCACCGGCTGTTGCTTTCGGCGGCATGCTCAACCCTCTTAATTGGAGGGGTGGTGGAGGCGAAGGCGGCGCAAATGCAGGTGCGGTGGGTGCTAATCGTCACCCACCGGATGACGTGGAGGCTGAGGAGGACGAAGTAATGGAAGATGTACATGAACGACCTGCCCGGAGCCACAAACGGCCTGCCCGGGGCCATGAACGCAGACGACGGGACGACGAGTTTTGATCAGCCAACGAAGCGGAGCAAAGACGGTCAGAGTCAAACTACGTGCGGCTGAGCTGTACTAGCTTATTACGAAGCCATGACGATGCGGTTTCAGGTGCTCAAAGCGCGCCCATTGTGATTACCTGTGTACATGTAGCTAGCCATCAGATTTGAATGTATAATTTGGCAAGATCGTCGTCATAATCCTACGTGTCCGAGCTGCCCTGTTCCTTATCATTATTCTACACATCTTCGCTTGAGTAATATTCGTACTGCTGTCCTCCGTCATAGATTTTGGGATGTCATCGTTGCGGATTTTTGATGTCATCGTTACGTTGGTGGTAGGATGTTATACATCGAGAAGCCGCGAGGCTAGGGCCACAGGCAGGCACTGTATTCTCGCATACCATAGTGTGAAAGAGCCTGTCTGTTATGTATCTTACCTCGAACAACCGAAAACTACCCTGAAGCATACATTGTCGCCATGTTGTCCCGATTGCAACGTAGAGTACGACGTCGCTTCCTATTAGCTGTATTGCACCTTCTCATACACCAAAACCCAAGCAGGCACGACACCAAAACAACAACAACCGTGCGGCATGTCCGCTGGCAGTCGCGAACCACACCACCCAACATGACTTACTCGCAATTGCGCTCTCATAGTCCTCCTTTCTACAACCCGCTCCGCGAAGTACGCCATCATGAGCGATGCAGACTCCGACGACTGGGTCGACTCATCAGAGGGCTCAGACGACGATATAGACGGCGAGGCGAGGTAAGTGACCTTGATATCCTTCATGCAGTGTGCCAGACC